GATTCAGAATTTTGAGAGATATCTGGGCAACTCCTGCTTTAACCCATTTTTTGTATATCACAACATTTAAATCTTCTAGTGCTTCCAAAGTTTTAGCAGCTTTTCAACACAAGTTTTGAGTTTGGTGGGGACGCATAATGTCCTTTATATGTCTTTCTACCATAACAAGGCTGGCTGCCCAAGCTTGGATCCCTGACAGGTGGTGAGAGATGCTCTAAAAACTTGAAGCTACCTTTTGGGGTGCTGTACACATCACTAAAATAAACCTGCTGATAGTTTAACAGCTCCTTGATTTTAACTACCACCTTAAAGGGGTACAGGGTTGAATGTAAAGGAGGCTTCTTTAGCTGTGGGGATGCTCTAGTGATGGGGAAGATGTTACATTGTAGGTTGGCTTAATTTTGAGATTTTGACTTGTTTTAGTGTGATGGTCAATTTTCTGGTTGGTCAAGGAGAGGCTTTGGTTTATTAGAACTTATATTTAATTTGGGGTATGATGTGTTTACCTTATTTTATATATTATTTATTATATTATTTTTTACATGATTTATGTTTAGATCTAGCATCTTTTTGGATTTGACAATAGGAAATATTTAAGTGTGAAATAGCTTTAAATGGTTCAAGATGGTGGCAGGTGGATTGGATGGCTGGTTGCTAAGATAAAGCTTCATTTTCCTTTGGAGCTTTGATTTCAAATAAATTAGGGATGGGCACCAAGATTGTTACATTTTTTAACATCCTCCTAAAGTCATAGAACAAATCTGCATGGATTGTGATATTAATAAGTACAACTTTATCTGGTTTTGTGGGGTGACCAATCATAGTCATGTAATTTCGTGCTAGTTATTCCTTTTGGCTGTTATATATGCATTTAAATAAAAGAATAAGTATGATTAACTAAAATAACCTGTTATCCAATCAAAACTATCATTGTGAGATATTGTTGGATAAAGCTTTTGATAAATTATAAGATAAAAGGATAAGTTTAAAGAAGTGGATGCTTTAATTTTACATCATGTGCCGCATACAAAATGAAATCATATGTTTTATCTTTGAGAAACCAATTTCCTTTATATTTTGTGACCTGTACAATGGAGAGAGGCACAGATTGTGACCTGCTCCAAAAGCTGCAAACAAATACACTCACATTTTTGTGCCCTAGTCCTAAACATGGTAAAAATAGTTTTGTGACTTTGTAACCACGCAATTGCTGTGACCATCACAACCCTGGTTTCAAATAGGTATGAAGATGTGTGATTGTGTTGATAAAGTAGCAAAGCTTTATTCGTGGTTATTGAAGATGAGAAGATTGGGAGAATCAGGATCCAGGTTGGTGAGTTTGTCCTTGGAAGCAAACGCAATGATCTTTGCTTTGATTGCTTGGGGGGGAGATTGCTTTCTCTGAAAGGAAGTACGCTGCCAGACCAGCAACGTGGGGAGTGGCCATGGAAGTGCCTGACTTTATGGCAGTATGCCCATCTATTGAGGTTGACAGGATTTTAACGCCAGGGGCAAAGACGTCAACACATTTCCCATGATTGGAGAAGGTTGCTCGCATATCTTTGGCGTTGGTGGCGCCAACAGTGATGGCAGAAGGTGAGGAGGCGGGGGAGCGAGTGCAGGCATCAATGTTGGAATTCCCTGCGGCAACAACAACAACAATCCCCTTCTCAACGGCTACGTCCACAGCTTCGTTGAGTGCTTGGGATTTGCTGCCGCCCAGTGACATGTTGATGACGCTGGGATTCCCATTGGTGTGATTTCCGATTACCCAGTCAATTCCGGCAATAACTCCGGAAGTCTTACCAGTCCCTTTGGCGTTCAAGACGCGGACAGCAACAAGGGTGGTCTTCTTGGCAACACCATACGAAGCTGAGCCAATAGTTCCGGCACAGTGAGTGCCATGGCCACCCTCATCCTCGTCGTTGTCGCCGGCAAACCGTGCACCAAATTGGGCACGGCCCTCAAACTCAGGATGATCTAACTTGATGCCAGTGTCAAGGACATATACGGTAACACCAGCCCCGTCAAATTTATAGGTGTATGTGTAGTCGGTGGAGTTGAGCCTTTCGGATTGTGAGATGCGGTTGAGGCCCCAGGTGGCGTTGTTCTGGACAGCATCAATTGAGACAACGGAATCCTTCTCAATAAACTCGACGTTAGCCATACCCATGACTTTAGCAAGGACATCCTGGGTGAACTTGGCATGGTACATGTTGCCAATATCTTTGTAGACATAATTGATTTTGTTTCTATTTGATCTTGGCGTGAATAGTTCCTTCACTTGGGTCAGATGAGTATCAATCAGAGTTCGCTTGCCACCCTTGAGCTTCACAATGTAATTATCCTCGATTGGGGTGGAAGAACAGGCCAGAATCAACCACAGCTGTAGCGTATAGATATCAAAATACATATTGAGCTGGGCAAGTATAAGTTATCACAGTTAAATATATGGAATGGGTATTTATATTTAAATCAATCCGTACACATCAAATATTTGTACAAAAGGGAGGATGTCTCGGATGCAGGAGACAATCCCTTGAATCTTTTGGCTGAAGCTTTGGAAACCAATCGTATATACCACTTAGGGCTCACAATTTCCACCGCACCAAATATAAATACATAGACTAAAATTCCCAGTTTGAATTGGAAATTAAAGTCAAAGACTTTAAGTGCTTATTTTTAGCCCATTTTGGTTGGCAAGGATCAGTCCATACAAACGTTTTTATATAATCTTTATTGAAAAGCTTGGGGTGGTCAAAGGGGATCTCTATCCAGAGTCGCCCATAAAACACGCTAGTCTTCAAACAAGATTTGGAGCATCTGAAGTGGGCCAAGCAAACGCCAAGCAACCAGCTTCAGTATCATGATAAACAAGTGATTCCCTCTTTCTAATTCCGGCCAGTTGTTTTTCCCACCCAGGATGAGCTTTGAAAATTTAGAAATCATGTCCAAAGTTCAATCTACAGCTGATTTAAAGCTTAAAACCACTACTGAAGGAACCAGATTTTGTTTCTGTACACAGATGCTTTTTGAGCTGTATGAATTGACCATAAAGCACAATGATATAGTATAGCTCCCACCTGGATCAGAATCATATGTAGCTTCTTGATAAAGAAACCATCCTGGTTTAGGTGGGTTCTTGGCACTGTTAGCCCAAAGAACTGTTAAAATTTATTTCAGATTTTTAAAATCATTGGACATTAAAAATAGCAGTGATCCACTCCTGCAAATTTGTTTTCTCAAGCGGTACATTCTTTATATGGATATTGTTTCATGTGATGATAATTGGTTTTGCAAGCCCAATTCATGTTTACCACATTACTTTTTGTTGGCATGAATTGACCAATTTTCAGTTCATGGCAGTTATGTAGTCAGGTAATGAGATACTAACACTAGGACCAGTTGCATCCCATTTGATGAAATGTTGCAACCTAACAAGCCAGGGTATTTGTTTGTATAAGTCTTTAAAGTTCCCATAATTAACTCTAGCACTATCCAGTAGGCTGGAAATTTTAAGCTATAAAGCTGCACAGATAGAAATCTATTCTTTTTTGCATCAGTTTCTTGTACATATAACTCTGTGAGTCTTAAAGTTTCTTTGTTTTCTTCTTTATTTAACTATTTTAGGTGGACTGACATGTCTCCAGATTTAATTATGCATCATATCAGTCTTCAAAAGGGGGCAGCTTCTTTTAGACCTGGGTTTTATGTGATGTAGCATCCACACTATCAGCACACTTGTTGAGAATTGAGCTTTCTTTGATACTGCCTTTGAAAGACTGAAAACCCTACTAAGTGCTGGGCTTGGGGCAAAACATTCTAATGATCCAAGAACCTCCTTTGCCCACACTTACTTTGTTTTATCTGTTACTAATTAGAGGTTCATTTCACCTGATTTTTTTGGTCAGCACAGTTGTGTTGATTTTTAGGGTGCTTGCTGAACACTTCCCCATAAAAAGTTCTGGTTATCTGATAAAATTCTTTTCAAATACACTTGTAAAGAAAAATAAATGTGATATATATCACACCTTCAAGTATACAAAGACATTTAAAGCTTGTATCTTGGCCTCTAGATCCAACTATTTATTCTTCTATTTACTCATTTATTGACTAAATCTGTAAGGAACTTGGATTTTATTTCTGTACTATCCACTTCTTCATTTTTGAAGAAAGCTTATAGATGGCAAAACACTTTACCCAGGGGGCTCAGCTGGTATCCTGGAGGATGGCCATATCTAGGAGAGCCAAGAATGATAATAACTGTTTTATCAACATTCATCTTTGTGTTAGAGGCTTTTTGGTAAGTGTTCATCATGTCTTGGTTTCTGCCTATGTTCTTAAAACATGATAGTCCAAAACATGCAATTTTTGCAAAGGCTAGTTCTCTAAGTGGGGCTTATTCTAGATGGTGAACACCTTATATCATATCTTCTGCTGCTAAAAGCATCATATTAGAGGCAAAGATAAATATGGTTGGCAACATAAAATCACCCTTTCTGAGGTCCTGGTATAATTTTACTGTTTTTAGTCTGTTATTGATGATTATATTTTCCTTAAAATCTTAATATAGGGTACCTAGCCAGTCAATAAATTTATTTAGGGTCCCCAAGCCTCAAGAGCTCTATATAAATAATCTCAACTTTCTCTATCATAGGCTTTTACATATCAAAGAATAGTAGATAGCCATTATACTATCTATCTAGTCCATAAAAACAACTATAAGTGTGGAAAAATAATTGAATATCAATGATACACTAACAGAGCAACTTCAATTTGACAAAAAGATGATACAGAACAGTGCCAGAAAACCTGATAGCTTGGAATTAGAGAGGACTTGTATTAAAAAAGTGTTAGACCCATATAAGTTTGCATTAAATCTTGAAAATTGATCATAACTTAAATATTGGGAATTCTTATTTTGAAAACAACCCCCAATCTGCAGCCAAGAGTTCAAATACTATACTATAAATTAACTTATACTAATGAAAATTCCCCAAGCGCTCGTAGTATAGAGGTAGAATACTTCTCTTCCAAAGAAGTGGCCTGGGTTCGATTCCCAGCGGGCGCATTCTTTTATTTGGTGCAGATTGCTAAGGTTTTTCTTATATTTTGCTTTCAAGGTAGGGTTTCTTTTGACCAGCCATAACCAAAATTGCATAAGTGAAAGACTGAATTTCTCGTCAATAAAGGGGTGCACAGTGACTTTTACTACTACTGTTTTAATTATAACTACCCATGTTTACACAGCTTCTTGATTATTGTAATTCTAATCCAGCTTGCTTGAATCAAGTAAATCAACCTATTAGGCAACCAGAGTTGCAAATCTAGTCATGGATCTATCATCAACTATCATATATATTCTTTAGAGTTTAATTAATTAAGATGTTTATATCATGTCTTTTTCTGTATCACTGATTGCATTTAAGTCATAATTCAATAAATTACTCAAACTAGGTTTAGTTCAGGGTTGAAAAGCCCAAATTTTTCTATCCAGTTTATCACCCAGTGAAATATCAATGTCTTTTTAGCAATTAGGTTCATCTTTCTGAACCAACTTCTAGAGAGCAATTTTTAAAAAGCTGAACAAGATTATAGAAAATATGGAATATATCCAACTAACAGAACTCTAACGTATGAACATGATGTTATCTTTTTAAAAAATAACTCCATGTGCCAATATCAACGCTTCATGAAAGTAAAAACTCTGGTTACTTGGATATGTGATTGGATGGGAAACTGTTCAACTACTACACAAACTACTACCTTGGTTAACTTAAAATTTCCAATGCTTAAATATGTGTACAATTGTTTCAAGTGTCCATGTTAAATTTTACCCCAAAAATAAATTTACAATCACTTAAAAATAGGAAGGAAACTTATTTTCTACTAATCCCTGTTTACCCACTGTAAACTTGTCATCCATGTTTACACTCATATACTTCCCTTAAATATTCACAACCTCTGACCTCTATATCCCAATATCTAGATGGTTGCAACTGAATTGAATACCTCAGTTACCAACTTATCTCATGACACATAGGGGAACCCATCAAGTCAGCTCATAATGAGTCCAACAGGACAACCCGACCCACATAAATAGTAGCTCTCATATTTTCATATAAGGAGTGGGACTAATCTATAACATATATCTAATAAAACTATACACAGAAACTTGAAAACCCCCACCAGGTTCAATGCCACTCCCTTGGTAGTCAATATAATCCCTACACAGTATGAGAGCCCCCATCCTTCTCAAAAATATCATCTTACTCCAAATCACTTTTGTGTTTCCTTTGGACTGGTGTCTTCACTAGCTACAGGTACTGACCTATACAGTAGCTTTCAAACCTGTTGAAATAAACATATAATACTCAGTTTAGAATGCATAGGTTCAGTCACAATTTTTTTCTGGAACCAGTTGAAGGTCAAATTACTCAATAAAAATTCCATCTATCTATAGCCAGAAAACAAAAATACTCAATCACACAATGCAAATAAAGTCAAATATTTAATTACAAAAATGAGACAGCACACACATGGGAATCAAATCCAAAACGTACACAATCCAGTCACTTTCTGAAGCGTCCTATAACAAATCTGCTAATGAGTGTGTGGCAAATATGATATAAACAGAGAATAAATGAGGTTTAGTCACAAAAGTGATAAGTTCAAACACAAAACAACTCATTTTTTTTGAAAATATCAGTTTATTTTTGGGACTCAAATTAAAAATAGTGTATTTAAGGAGTGAATCCACCAAAATTTATTCAGGGAACTACAACATTATTTTCAATGTGTGTGCTTCTAAATTTGGCCATTTATGTCTGAGAGAATGTCTCAAAAAGGAGAACACACTTAAATAAAATTAATTTTATAGAAATACTTTGCTTTTCTATTTTTAATAGTTTTTTATTTTATTTTTATAATTGTTGTGTATATACTTCTTGGAAGTACAATAAACAAGATAAAGGGGAAATTTAAGAAGAGAATGATAAGATATAATGGGGGTACTGTAAATTCAGAACCTGAACGTAAAAATGCGGGATTGTCAAATCCTTGGTCCAAATTTCAAATCACTTTTGCGGGATGGCCTTTTTTAATTAAATTGATTTTTGTGAGTATTTATTTGAATATTTGAAAATTCAGGAACTCATAGACACTTTGCAAAGTTCAAGTTGAACTGCATATTTCCAATGGACAAAATGAATTAACTGGAATCAGATTTGAAGCGTTCAAATCCATCAACCATTTTCATTAAGTTTACTATGTTTTTTGAAATTGCGGGATTGTCAAATCCAAGAACCAAATTTCAAATCACTTTTGAATGCCACTAGTAAACTCAGATATTAATTGCAGGAACTGGAAATTAAATTGAATGTACAGTAAGCACACTAGAAAACACCAACCCAAATCAAGAAGCTCCACCACAAATAAAATCAAATGAAAAATTCAATATTGATAACCATGTTTAGGCATAAAAATTGATTATACTTTAAAATTATCTAAACCCGGAAAGGATACAATATTATACACTTCAAATCACAGATAAAGAAATACTGTTACTATTCAAGGCTAAATCAAGAGAAAATAACTACCCACAACTAAACCAATAACTCCAAATAAATACATATTTAATCTAAAATATATTTTTATATTATTTTTATGGACTGTCAATTGCATTCTCAACCCTCTCCTGCACCAGCCCACGGGGCAGCCTGTCCACAAGGGCGTCCCAGAGGGTCCAAGAACAGACCCAGAACCCAACTTGAAGGGAGTCATGCCAATACACAGGCCTCCCAAGGTGTCAATGCCAGCCAACTACCTTCCGCGTCCCAGGCCCAATCAACCAGCTTGAATCCCAGGCAGAAGCCACTCTCAAGGCCTGCCACAAAAGTCTCCTAAACCAGGGTCACCGGGAACACTGAGGTTACTTACACCTCCACCGTGTACCCAGTTGTCACCCGGCCCCGCACTCTTGACCCAAGAGTTGCCACTTCCTGCCCCTGCGTCTTTGATACCTCCTATGAGCCATTGGCCACCACTGAAGAGCCATCTGCGCCTGTATTGTATGCCACCATTGACGGCGCCAGTGCAACCAAGCGGGATCCCACCTTCTACAAAGGTCTCCATCCCCTGTTCTGAGCCTGGTAGCCAGGATGCCGTGGTACCTGCCAAGGGCCGGCATCAGTTGATGGATAGTGAGCGTGAAGCTCTCCTCAACTGCTTAAACAGGGGAATGGCGGTTCAGGATATTGCGTCCCAATTTGGTGTCACGGCCAGGTACATTGCCAACATCAACACCAAGTATGGCAACACTGAGCAAATTGCCAAATCCACCAAGGCTAAGCGGCAGCCAAAACTCTTGCAGCCTGTGCACATTGAGCAATCAAGCAGTGGGTAGCCAGGGATTGCCACCTGGACACGCTTGCTGTCCAATCAATGCTTGCCACAGAGTTTGGGATTTCTGTTTCTAAAACCCTTGTTTACAAAACAATGGTTGATTTGGGCTTCTCTTGGAAGGTGCTCGGAGTTTCTCCATACAACAGAAACAGTGAAAAGACCATCAAGGATTGACACATTTATGCCAAGACATATCTGGCACTAAAGGAGACTGAAAATGTCCAGTTCTTCTACATCAACAAATTGTTGTTTTCCTCCTCACTCAGGTCTAGGCATGGGTGGGTCAAGAAGGGGTCCAAGGACGGCATAGCCCATTGTGCAGCTGTCCGTTCCCAGACCTATTCCATGGTCGCGCTTCTTGGTCCTCACGGGTTGGACCAATACCAAATGATCAAGGGTTCCCATAACACCAGGACTTTTCTTTGATTTTCTCCAAGTTGTCAAGGAGTACCTTTGGATAAATTACAGCGGCACAACCAATGTTGTTGTGCTTGATAATGTTGGGCTCCACAAAGTGGATCTGGTTGTGTCCAAGTTCCCCCTATTGACAAGAATAGCCACTCCTCCAGCCACCGCCTTGCTGATTATCCAATGAGACTTCTCTTCCTCCCGCGTATTCCCCATTCCTGAATCCAATCAAGGAGGTGTTTGGTTGGATCAAGAATAAGGTGAAACAAGGCCTTCCGCAGGACACTGAGGACCTATTCAATATTCTTGAAGTCAGCCAATTTGCAATGCCACCCAATGTGGTTGCGGCTTTTTACAAGCACTCAGAATCCTTCCTCCCCAAAGCCCTGGCCTCCGAGCCAATCAGATAAATGGGCGCACCAGTTTTATTTGTTTTTATTTTTTATTTATTTTGTTTTTATTAGGACTCAAATTATTGTTTATATATAATAATGGGACGTTTGATTGTATTATAGACATATAAGAATACATAGAAAAAGTAAGTAAAATTAATTATACTAGATAAGAGGGATTTATTTTTATATGATGCACTGAATATTATTGGCTTTTGCAGTAACAAATAAATAAATAAATAATAAAAAAAGATAGAAAAAAATAGTTTATTTAAATAATTGTGAATCATTTTGGTACTTTGACTTTTCTAAGCCACAAATTGGACCTTGCGTGTCATCATCTGCTCCTTGGTATTTCAGTGCCACTGTAGCTACACAACACAGCAACCAATGATTTTTATGTATTCCTTACTAATTTGTACTTAGGACACAGTTCAAGTATATTAAATATGTTTATCAAATCATATTACAAGGGAAAGATAATTTGAGTTATAAACAATCATTTGTTTAGAACAATAGTGGAGCGGGCCACATGATGCGGATATATTCAATTCTCCATGTTAATCTTTGTGATAAATGTACCCATACTTGACAAGATAATAAATAATAAATAAAAAAAATTTAACTTATTTTTAAATATTTGACGTGGTTGCAACTTTAACTATTATCTTGTAATATATTTAGATATATTAATACTATAATTTACCTACTAAAAATTAAAATTAAAAATAAAATTTTAAAATAAAAATATAATTAAAAATCTTAAAAGTTTAATAGTAAAGGCTAAATATTCAAAATACACCAATTTTTTATTTAATTGTGATTTATTCAATATTAAAATATTTCATATCAAAATATTAAATATCTT